TCACTTTATATGTCAACAAGTTTTGTATTTTTTTTGTATTAATTCTAAATGTATGTCAACAAGTTTTGTATTTTTTGTGCTCATTTTGTATGCTAACAAGTGTTGTATTTCTTTTTTATTTTATATTAATTCTAAGTTTATGCCAACAAATTTTAGATTTTTTATGCTCACTTTGTAATTCAATCTCACTTTATATGCCAACAAGTTTTGTATTTTTTTTAATTTTTTTGTATTAAGTATACTAACAAGTTTTAGGTTTTTCAATCTCACTTTGTATGCCAACAAAATTTGTATTTTTTTTATTCTGAATTCATTCTAAAAGCTTCTTCATTGCTAGCAAAAATCTTAAATCAATAGTGTAACAACCTGTTTAGTCGGTTCGAGCAGTAGAATTATTTTCAATAAAAACTGACTGGGTCGACGGATCACACGACGGACCGTCATGGTCACGACGGACTGTGATGGACTCCATCGTTCCATACTTGTGTAATTTCTTCTGCTGCTCTCCTCATTACCCTCAACGACAGGTAGGACGAACCTTCATAGGCACGACGGTCCTTTGAGGGTCTTCGTTCCAAAACACTTCAACTCTGAAATCTGGGTACTGAGATCGACTCTCTGAACTTTACGACGGAACTGCAGCACGGACCGTCGTAGATACGACGAACCGTCATAAGTTGCGTAACCTCACTACTGAAATTAACTCTCTGAACTTTGTGACGGACCTGCAGGACGGACCGTCAGAGATACGATGGACCGTCACAAGCTGCGTAACTCCACCCTGGGTTGGATTTCCGCTAAAATTTAAATAGGTGTTTTGGACTATTCATGATTATAATTATGAAATTAGTGGGGTAAGTTCAATAATTTATTTACTTGGGGGTTAAAGAAGATAATAGGGAAATAAATAGTGGGTTACTTTTATCATAAAGGATTATATGATAATTAGGGTAAAAGAAAAAGAATCTGAAGAAGAAAAATAAAAAGAACAGGAAAGGGAGAACGAGCGAGAGAGAGAGAACGAAGAGGACAACAAAGGCATTGGGAAGGTAGCTTGCTTGATCACGATTCTTCGGTGGAGGTAGGTTATGGTTTAATTTCTATATGATAGATAAACTCTAAATAGTGATCGATATGTATTGGGTGGTATTGTAAAGTTTTTTATGTGCTTAATTGTGTGTTTGTATGTTTTGATTGTGTGATTGTGGTGGGTTAGAATGATGAGACTGTGAAAATCTTCAATCTTAAATCCTCTCTATTAAGATGACTCCTTGACATAGAGAAGACTTGATGAAATAAAATAATGAGGTATATGGATCGGAGTGTCACGTTCCGACACGGTAATATTGGATCGGAGTGTCACGTTCGGACACGTATTAGGGGATCGGAGTGTCACGTTCCGACACGATAATAATAAAGAGAAGGAATCTTGAATTAGGTTAATATACTCAAATTTGAAGAACCTATTTCCCAAATGAGTATGGTGTGGAGGCTTGAGTCCTCATAGGTGTGCTTGGTGTTGTTGCCAATGGTTCTTGTACTTGTTGCTTGTCACCTGTTAAGTATCGTGGTTGATTTTATAGTATTATTCAGTATATATTGTTTTCTATTTTGAGTTGGCCGATGATACCTACTCAGTACGTGTTCCTTGTACAGACCCCTACTTGTAATTTTCTTCTTTGTTATTTGTGGAGTGCAGCAAGCGTGCCATCGACTTTGACTCGTCCTCAGCTCTAGCCAGTCTTTGGTGCATCAGAGTTCAGGGTGAGCTATTATTCCTAGCTCGTGCTGGATTCTCTCCTTCACGTTTTGATGTCTTGAAGTTCGGACATGGACCATGTTTTTACTTATTTTAGCTTCTTAAATACTCTTAGATTTAGAAATTTGAGGATAGATGTTCTTGATGTGATGACTTCCAGATTTTGGGATAAATAAATATTAAACTTTAGAAGCTTATTTATTTGGTTATATTACTAAGTTTTGGGTCTTCCGCATTATATTTTGTTCATTATGATTGAAATATTGGTAAATGTTGGGGTTTAGATTTGTTGGTTCGCTCACCTAGGAGGATAAGTGTGGGTGCCACTCGCGGCTCATTTTGGGTCGTGACAAATAGACTTCAATTCGATATAGATTGAATATTTTCAATAAAGATTTAAAATTAATATTGATAATTTGAGGCTTAAGGGAGAGAGAAGTAATGTTAATGTGCAATCAAACAGTATAATAGAAAAGAAGTTTTGTAAATTTAATCTCAAAAATAAAAGATGAAAAGAGCATAAGAATAGTGGAAAAAAAATCTAGGCCTACTTAAAGTTATACCGAAATTATGATTCGTAATTATGATAACTTTGTTGGTTTAAATTTAAAAAAATTACCTTATTTGAAATATTATTTTTCTTAATTTTCTCCATTATTTTAATAACTAAGTGTATTTTTTTCAAATTAAACAAATGACAAATTACATAAATCAACAATATAATAAATTAAAATATTAATATTTTTAAGAAATATTAAAAGTTCGGCTATGAAGCCTCGTACAATATTAAAATATTTTATTTTAATTTTTTTCTTAAATTATATTCTAATTCAATAAATAATCAAGTAATGTGGAACGAATATTTATGAAAGAATATTATACAATATTATATCCCAGATATTTTACTTTGAGGGCAAATAGAAAGTTAGGAGCAAAACTTAATTTTTACAAGTTATTCACCATTAAATAATTTATTACACATACAGCTCATGCACTGCGTCCCTATGTCCAGAATTCTTTAAAGAAAGAAAGAACATTTTTTAAATGTTTACCTCCTCTTTTGGAAATTTCGCAAATAGTTATTATAATACATTTATTTAATGCTCCATAGTTACAATTTGTATAATTACAAAATGTAGTTATAATTTATTTTCTTTTCATTGTATAATTCGTGGGTTTGTATAATTGACAGATGAGTTTGCATAATTGAATTATTTTTGTATAAGTTCGAAATAATAAATTTGTACAAGCACAAATATCTTATCTTAAATAGTTAGACAAATTTCAAATCATACAAACACGTGAATTATATAAAACTCGAAACCTCAATCCATGTAATTATGCAAAAAAACAAGAAAGAAAAAACCCTATATAATTATCACTTAATATTGGTCGCAAATAGTAATTAAATAAAACTATAATTATGATGACTAATTAACTAGTATATGTTTAATCACTTAACTGTAAAAGCTAGAATCGTCTATATAATTATGAGTATCACTATTTAAAAAATTGAATTTAGCGAAGGACAAATTTTATAGTTAAACATCAAAAGCCGTTGCTAATCCTCTTTAGTGACGAATATTTGTTAGCTAAATAGTGACGAACTAACAATGAAATTAGTAGCTAATTTCAATTTTTTTAATGGGCAACTTTCACATATAGCAAATAAAAAATTCATATTTGTATGCTATAGCAAACTTTGCATAATTGCGCTCCATAGCAAACATAAAACCGTATAATTTGCTATACATATACAATTGTATAATTCGCTGACCTATTTCGCTGCAATTGTATAATTTGTTTTGCATACAGTTGAATCGAATTAAAATGTATGTATATTGCATAATTATAAATATATAGCAAGAAGATATATGTTTTTCTCGCTTTATACAAAAACAGAAACACAATATATACACTTCTGTTGTATAAAGCTAGAGAAAATTGTATTTCACTGCAATTGTATAATTCGCTGGTCTTTTTCTCTGCAATATTTGAAGTAAAATGTTTGTAAATTGTATAATTAAGTGTATAACACGAATATATATATTTTTGCATGTGTATATACAATTTTCTCTCGCTTTATACAAAACAGAAACAGAATTATACACTTCTGTGTATAAAGCGAGAGAGACGAGCGAGAATGGAGAGTGGCGAGCGAGATTTTTAGGAGAGAGACGCTGACAAATTTTAGCTAATGTTTGCTATGGAGCACAATTAAATCAAACCCTCGCTATTTCATTTAGTTTAGGTTATTTATTTGCTATTATATACAATTTTCCCCTTTTTAATAGTGTATGAGGAGTATGATGGCTGCCATAATTGAAACTCCTGCCCAAGATATACTATATATATAGATTTTCTTGCAAACCTGTCTATATATTACTAACATGAAATAATATGCATTTTAAGAAAGGTATCATAGAATGAAGACATCACATTTAAGAAAACATATTATAGTATTTACCACTTTTGTGTGTGTGTTCAAACCACCATTTATTTTAAAATGTGATATTTAATTAGTTGGAGAAGAACACTTTTAAGTTGTATTTAGTACGATGGGAGATTGCTATTATTATTATTTTTTTGAAAATTAAGTGAGCTTCTTATTTATTTTTAATGTTTAATAAATAAGTTGAAAAAAATTCATCCATAAATTTTAAAAGTAGATCGAAATTATCATGAAATTACGATGTTTAATTACATTTTCTTTTCATCCAAAAAGGATTAACCAATCTCCAACGTATTTGAATAGATAAGAATTATTTTTGACCTATAATTTCTTAAAAAGTTTGACAAGTTCACTAAAGGTTAAACCAGTCAAATTTGAATCATAAATTTCTTTTTTTGTAACAATGCACTCATCCTATCAAAATTCTGAAAACGTTTCTATACCAACCCCGTAGTTCTCATCCTCACCACTTTCACATCCTTAACGCAATGCCGATCTTAATAGAGCTAGAATAAACCATGAAAATTAGATGAATCAGTCTTTTTGCTCTTGGAGAATTGACAATATGCCACTTCTTGTATCCTTCGCCCAGTCTAGTAATTATACAATATATATATTGGGTGCTTTTGGCTGACGCATGTGAATGCAAATAAAAGGTGTAGGAGATTGTTTTCTTAGATCTTAATGTGCTCGCTTGCGAGTTATCTAATAAATATTGTTGTATATGAGGTGACATACATAGATACTTTAAAAGTATCTAAATTAACATATTCAATATAAAACCCAAGGGGACATGAAAATCTCATAAGTTCATCAACATAAATGCAAATTGGAGACACTAAAATTGAGACAATCATGATAATTACTACTTACAAATTTGCACATGTGATAGCTAAAATAGTCTGTATAGTAGTGAGTATGAGAAGTACGATGGCTGTCACAGTTGAAGCTCCTACCCAAGGACGACTAAAATAATTATGCTCTAAATTTGCCTTCATTCTGTTCCATGGAAATATTTTGGCATCACATTGGATGATTGTTGCTCATAAGCAATGAGATTTCGCAGGATGGATTTCCATCAATCCTTTCTCAAACTTTATACTATCAAATAAATTTTGTCGTATCGCGCCAATATTATCTTTGTTTTTATTGTCATAACAGAAAGCTCTGTTGCATTTGGCATAACCATATGCCATGTTATGTCATCGGACGACTTTCCCTTGACATGAAAATATGTATACTAAATGTAGTAAATGTTTGATATCTTTTGCATATAATTTTGTCTCTTTAAAGGATTCAAGGGTCATTTTTGGCAAGTCAATGAAAAAGGTAAATGAATTACCCACTAGTATTGCCAATGGTAATTCATGTCATGAAGTTTGTCGAGGACAAAGAAAGGAAGTTGATTTTCAAGTAACATCAACTCTCGAAATATGTAAGTATCACTAATATTTATAATCGTTTTACTTGTGAATATACTTCATGACACTCTCAAATAAACTCAATCACAAAATAACCATCGAGCAACGACATTTGACAAAAATTCATGACTATTATCACTATCTAGGTCTTCTATATCATTATAACACTTCACCACTTCCTCCTTCTGTTTCTCCAATTCACTAATGCAACTTCCGATATCAAGCCCCTCTTTTCGTTGAAGAAATCATTGTAGGTACAATAATTTGTACTTTTTCATTAGACCAAGTTGGTGATTTTCTCTTGTGGTAAGGACCAATAGAGACCATCTAAGCAACTAGATTTGATTCACGTAGCCACACATTTACTTTGAATATGGTACTCGATTCAATAGACAAATTGTCTAAATCAAACATTTGATTTACAAATTCCTTTGTCTGTGATCCTAATGGATCTTGTTTGTGTACTTTATGTCAATTAAATGATCCACTTTCCTCTCTTCTTCAATTTATAATGGTTTAGAGTCATAGTCACATATGACGTATCTGTTTACTTGTTTAATTTTATACAGGTTTAAGTGTCTATTAGGTATATCCAGAGTTGGAGGCATATATGTAAATTGAAATCAAGTTAAAGGACACATCTATATATTATTTCCTTATATTGCCCCTAATAAAAGTGGGTTAATGAAAAAAATTACCTCATCTTTTTCAATTTGAAGAAGTAGTGGAATTTGGTCATCTATTGAGGTAATCTCAATGGAGTGTGTCTTCCTACTTTCTTCAACTCTAATTCCTACAAAAAGACATTATCTTTTTTTAAGTGTCAACTCATTTTACTATTAATCCAAAGCAATATCATTATAACAAAAATAATTTTTAGCGGTATTAAATATTGACACTAATAAAGAGTGCTAAAGTCTTTACGATATTAGTTAAGTGCCATTAGAATCAGTGTCGCTAAAGGCTATAGGAACATATACAAAGAGTGACAATTACTACTAAAAATACATATCTAATGACAATTAAAAATTAAATACCGCTAATTTTATTGTAGCGTATATTCATTGTAGAATTTTGATTTAGAAAGAAAAAAAGACAAAGCAATATATCAACACTCATTTTACTTTATAAAAAGAACCCCACTATATATTTCTTGTCAAAAGTTAAGCTGCTGAAAAAGAACTAATTTGATCTATTAAAATAAAAAAGACCAGGAAGTAATATACACATTAATTTAATGAAAACATATACACTCATTTTTAATTTGTTTTTCTTTACTTTTTTTTTCTTTTAACTTTAAGAAGAATGTCCCTTTCATATTTTTGTAGATTCTAATTTTTAACATCATATATTTATATATTTATGTTTAAAAGATTAAAATGCACTTTGATACATTTTACATATTTGTAGTTTAAGATTATAAGATTCAAATATTTTTATTATTTTTTTAAATTTTGTATTAAACCAAAGCCAGTCGAATAAATTAAAATAAATACACCACTAAAAAGACACTATTTTCCTATTGAAATTTTCTAAAGAAAAATATTCTGTGATTATTCCCACCTACATTTTAATTGAAAAAAAATGAGAAAAAATAATAATAATGTTTTTAACCCAAAAATTAGAAAGCTTTACGACTAAAAATTTCTTTATTTTTTCAAACTTAATATTTGTTTTATACCATATATTTTTTCAGTGAACAACTAATTTCTTGAAAATTAATGAGTTAAAGATATGCTTTAAAACATAATTTCTCATTAATTCGCGCGATAAAACACACTCCTACTTCTAATAGTGAGAATATTAGAGATGTGGTAGTACTCTTTGAAGCATGTAAGTTATTTGGGTGAAGACCAATAAAATGTTTTTCTTCACAAATAAATAATAGAAGCAATTTTTTTTTATAATCTCATTCTCTTTTCCCTCTACACTAGAAAATATTATGTAGCAAAAGAATTAATAAAGAGTAATTGTTTAGCATAGAACAAGAAAAATCTAGAAAAAGAAATACCTCTTATTGATTTGGCTGTTCCTTCTATTATTTGTTTTTTTTTTGGTCTGTTGTTTCTATGAAATGTGATCGAACATTCATATTCATATATAATAACATAACATAACATTTTATGTGTGGTTTTGTTTTGGTCTTTCAACACAAAAAAATGTTGGCCACTTATGGAAAGATAAGGAGAAGTCTGCTGACTCAACAAGTCAATTATTATTTATGATATAATATATATATATATAAATATGTCTCTTAATTTAATCAGGGCCGGCATTTGCCTTCAAAATTTAAGGCATTGTCCTTAGGCCTCCAATATTTGGGGCCTCAATTTTTTAAAAATAAATAATTATGTATTCTAACTCTATTATAGAAGAAATCAAGGAAATATTATTTTGAATTTTTATATTTTCTTTGCTAACTTTCATATTATTTATCCTTTTTAACTCTTTTTACATTTTATTTTTCAAATCTTTGATAGTTAGAGTGATACACTCCCAAAAAATACAAATCAGTAGTCGAAAAGTGTTGAACAAAGTGCATTACAATTTTTTTTCAATTTCTTTGTTAATTTTTATATTAAAGTGGGTATACCAAGTTATCAACTTTTTGAATCGAATTTTATGATTCAAATACTTATCTTTAAAGTTTATTAACTTATTATTTATAGAATTATGTTAATAATACATATAATAATTGTCTCAATGGAAAAAAAATCTGAACAAAACATTTATATAAAGATGTTAAGTAGTAATTTATATCTAGAAATTAAGAAAAATAAATAAATACAGATAAAGTTTATTTAGATTTTAGGCCTCTAATAAAAATTTCGCTTTAGGCCTCGAATTATGTTGAGCCTCCCTTGAATTTGGCTATTATATCTTTCAATTTTGAATGTGCATAAGTAGACATTTAAACTTGTATAAAGTTGCACAAATAGACGTACACATCCTAAGTGCAAGGTCATCTCAACTAGTTTGGGGATCTAAAGTCAAACTTCATAAAGAAGTGTTATATTTTTTAGTTGACACATATAAATAAAATAATTATAACAAACAAAGTGTAATCCTACAAATAAGATCCGGGGAGATAGGATTAGGATATACGCGAACATAAAGAAACAAAAGTGTAAACAATGTAAATTTTCAATGAAAAATATATAACATAAAGTTGGAATAATAAAGCATGACTCCAAAATCTGAAATGTTTATATAATGATATAAAAATAGTGTTGCGTTGAATTTTAAAGTTGATATAATGATATTAAAATAGTGTTGATTAGTTTTAGATCTTTAAATTTGAAGAAGACACTAATATATGTAGGATGCCACATAGGATATAAAATTATCATGTACGACGCTACGTATATCAAATATGTCTACTTATGTATGCACACTCAAAGATAGAGTGCATAGATGCCAAGTAAAGTCAAGTTAAAGACATATTTATATATTATGCCTATTTACTTATTAACATTTAATTTTTAATGTGTCATTTGAAATAATGTGAAATTCCACATATAATTAGTTGTCTTACACACACTAATTGAATGAGAAAATAGTTTAAAATATTACGTTTCATTAAATTTAAGTGTTTTGACGAATCTTTTGAATAAAAGGATTTATTAAAAAATTCGAGCCAAATACAAGTCTCCCAAAGTCATTCATCCTAAGAAGAAACCAAAGAACATATAATCGTTAGGGGAAAAAAGATTACCTTACTAGTTTTGACAATTTTTTTTGTTGATAATAAGAGTTTTATTTAATAATCATAATTGGGAGTCATTACAAACAAAATACAGGAATAATAAAAGTGGGGGGAACAAGGTACATCATCAACTTTTGATGGGAGCTCTTTGCAGTTAGTTTCGATATTTTAAGTTATTGTTATTAAGGAGTATTATTGACAGTGATAAAAAATATAATTATGAGGTATATATATATATATATTAAATCTAATTTTCTCAACTCAAAAGTTGAAAACACCACGTGTGCACACAAACAACCAAAAGAAAGCAGCAAGAGAGAGACACAATCTTTTATTATGTTAACGATAATATTCAAGTCAACTTGTTCGGTAATTTAACAACTCCACTAAGTACTTGCTATGGCAATAGACAGTAGTAAATTCAAAATTAGTCAAGTAACTTTTTTTATTTATATATAACCATGATTTTTCTATATACACGACCACTAGGATTAGGCTACTGTATTAGTTGAGTGCGACTAGGCTATTGTATTCTGTTAAAGAGGTATAGTCGTAGTAGTAGTGGTCAACCTCTACTCTTGTAATTATATTTATATTGTAGTATGATTCCAAGTGTAGCAAGCCTAACAACTCTTATATAAGGAGCATGTACTCCACAGTTTTATTCATTAATATAATCTTTAATTTCTCTTATTCATTTACTTGAGAAGTACATTAACATCTTACATGACCCAACCTAATTCGTTTCCATTTTATTTCTCCTCCAAATTCTTAGATTTTAAAACTTCTCTCATTTTAAATGTTTGACTCCTCTACAAAAGCTTCAAAAATTCAGTAGGTACAAGCCTTAATCTTTCAGTTTTTTCTTCTACAATGTATAGTGATTTATTAATCTGTCAGTTTCTTCTCAATCGATCGATCTAAGAGTCTGGAAAGAAATAATATGGAAACGGGTTAGGGCACTACAGTATAAACAACTTTGATAGGTACACATTAATATGTATATTTTGAAGAGTGACAAAGATTGCATCATGAAACAAGTTTAGCAAAAATGATCTGAGTTTAACAAGGCTTACTGGAAGATAGAGAAAAAAAACATGGGCAGCATGCATATGAGTTATGTGTGTACTTACATATTCAACGCAAGCAGATAAAATTTGTCATCATCAAAAAGGGGGATTTGTTAGAATGAGAAAGACTTTGATAATTGACAAATAGAGAAATAGATGAAAGAAACAGGTTGCACGACGTGTTCCTTTAAAACCGAATCCGACTTGAATAAGGAGAACTTCAACCACGCGATTAGAACTTATAAAGTTGTGGAATTATTTCTTTTTCGATGAGCAACCAGTACAGAAAGTTCCCTTTTATAAAGGAGTTCGCAAGCAAGATAGTTTTCTTAGTCGAATAGGAAACCTAAGAGAAGTAGAATATAAAGATGAAAGAAGGAAAACTACTTCTTACTTGTTTAAAGAAAACTTACGGCAGATAGGAAAGAAGCGTAAGATTTATTGGTCAGTGATAAAGAATCAAAGTTGAACTTAACAAGGTTTTGTAGAGGCAAAGATAAAGTTGATTCATGCGGAGAAGACAAGTTCGAGTTGAACTAGGAGTTCCACAAAAAAAAAGATTCCTACATGAAGTGGATTTCTAGTTGAAATAGGTTTTGGATTCAAGTCCAAATCTATAAATAAGACGATAGTTTTACTTGAGAAAAAATTGCGCACTTACGTAGAGAGAAGATCAAAACACGATAAAGAGGTTTGAGAGACTTTTGAGAGTTACTTGGGAGTGTTGCCAATTTGTGAGGAAAAAGTTGTAAGATTGTAATTAAGAGTTTTGATTATAATTGAGTGTGCGTATGATTCGTCTAACAAGTTTTAGAATTTTGACGGACGGTAGAAGATTTAAACTTGGGTTTTTTTTTAATCTTGGGTAATTAGGAATTAGAGTTTATAGTTTTTTAGATAGGAATTAGAGTTTATAATTCCTCTAGAAGTTAGAGTTTATAATTCCTCTACGAATTAGAGTTTATAATTCCTTAGATTACATAGGTTTGTAATCTTGTGTTGAGGTTTGAAGTTCAATAAAGTAGAGTTACATCCTACATAGGTATAGGTCGTGGTTTTTACCCTTATGATTTGGGGTTTTCCGCGATAAAATATTGTGTCATTATTTTATTTGCTTCGCAAAACGTAATTTTTGTAATCTGCAAAGAACATATAGAATAAACTTGTTCCTTAGGCAATTTTGGAGGTCTGAATTCCAACAATTGATATTAGAGTAGGTTATCTTTGTAGAATCTAAGCACTCAAGATAAGATCACTATGAATTCCGCACCTCCTTTTGGACACGGTGAATGTTATAACATCAACATACCACCACTATTCAATGAACATTACTACGCATGGTGGAAGACAAGAATGGAGGATTTTCTATACGCCAAGGACTATGAGTTATGGATGAGAGTTATTGATGGTCGTCATATTCCTATGATGAAGGATGATGAAGGGAATGTTATTCCAAAGCCCAAAGCACAATATGGAGAAGCTGATTATAGAATGCTCGCTAAGAATACTAAAGCTAAGCATATCCTTGTATGTGGACTTGGACTAGACGAGTTTAATCACATCTCTGGTTGTGCTACAACGAAATAAATCTGGGACACACTAGTCAATGCACATGAAGGAACTCCTCAAGTAAGAAAATTTAGAATTGCTAGACTATCCACAAAATATGAAGCATTTAAAATGGAGAATGATGAATCTCTTTAATATATGATTACTAGATTCACTATTATTATGAATGAATTGGTGTCATTGGGAAAAATATATACTACCGAGGAACAAGTGGATAAAGTGTTGAGGATTTTACCTAGGTCATGGGATATCAAGGTCACTGCAATTAGAGAAGCAAATGATTTGACAACCATGAGCTTGGATGAACTTGTAGGAAATCTAAAGACTTACGAGATGAATGTTGATAATACAAAAATGAGTAAAAGAAGCAAAGATATGATTTTTTCTGTCAAAGCAAATAAGAGTGATAAATCTGATTGGGATGATGAGGAAATAGTCATGATCAACAAAAGCCTCAGAAAGCTTCTCAAGAAAGGTGGAAACTATGAGAAAAAATTGTCCCTGAACAAAGAAAAAAAATCTGACATTTCTATGTATACTGCTTGGAGAACACGTTCAGACAACTCAATTGAAGATGATACAGAAGATGTTGCTTTGATGGCCATGGAGGAATCTGAACCAGAATCTGAATCAGACATTGAGAAAAGGGAGGTAAATTTTTTTGAACTTACAAATAAACTAAAATGTTTTTCAAAGAAAAAATTATCTACTCTCATGAATAATCTTCAAGGCTTGAATCAAAATAGAGATCAATTACTGGCTTGCTTTGCCAGTTTAAAATTTGAATATATTGATCTTGAAAAAATTAATTCAGA